GGTGGAGAACCGGACGCGGGTGCCGCGGGTGTCGTCGCGGGCGCCGCCGGAGCCGTAGAAGAGGAGCGGCAGGAGCCGAAAGCTAAGAAGCACCGGCCGATGCCGCAAACGACAACGAAAACAACAAAAGAGGAAACTCGGCCGAGCGCCGCTAATGCAGCCCGCAAGGGTTCCGTGAAGCCAGCGGAAGCGACGTCCGGCGCGGCACGACTGGAGGAGCACGCGAGCGACCGCAGCAACACGGAGGGCGAACCGGCGAGAGGATCAACGGCTGCTGCTGCTGGCGACGCCGATCATATGGTTGGGGCTCGTCACTGTCCGGATTTAGGTCCTGGGTCTGGCCCAGATGTAAGACCAGGGTCCGGTCCGGATTCACGTCCCGAGTCTGGCCTGGATTTGGGTCCTAAGTCTGGTCCAGACGTAAGACCTGGGTCTGGTCCAGATTCGGCTTCTGGTCCTGGTCCACATTCAGGCGCCGGGTCCAGTCCACGTCCGGGTGGCGAGGCTGGTCCGTTAACGTGCCGTGAACCGGTTTGGAATGCGAGTTCCAAGTCCGGTGGCAACGCCACGGAGATATCGGCCGGCGACCTGCGCGTCAGCACCGTCAACCGCCAAGGGTCGGGACGCAGCAAAGGCGAGGCCTCGGAACCCGACGGTGGGCGGCGAGTTGTGGTCTCGCAGGAAACCGGCGAGGGCGATGAGGACGGGGCGGTGGACGTCACAGGACCGGAAAGGGAGGACGGCATCGGGGGCGCAGCGGAAGATGGTGGGGAGCGCACGGAAGTGAACTGTGCGGACCGCAGGGCGGTTTGCATGGGTGGCGCCGACGGTGGACGAGACGGGCACGGCAGTGCTGATAATTCTGCCGGAATTGATGGTGACTTGGGTGACGCTACCGTCAATAGGGCTTCTACAGGAGAAGGTTCCGCTAGTGGTAGTGCTGTCACCGCTGCTGCCGCTAACAGGGGCAGTGAAGGAGGTGGTGACGTTGCAGCTGACGATCAAAGCGGAAGAAGAGCGGGTGAAGATGCTGGTCCTGTTCGCAGCGATGGAGACATTTCCGGCGCGGACCAAAGCAGGGGTGCACTCGCCAATGTCGGTGATAAAACCAACGGTGCCAGTGCTGCGACTGCCCGTAAAGTCGGCATTGATGATGGTGAAGATGGAGTGGTTCGTGCTCACGACGCGAGAGGCGGCGGTGGACATAGCGACGGTGTTGGTCATCCAGTCGGCGGTGGAGACGTCGCCATTGGCGATCCAGCAGCTGCGGGCGCGAGCAGTGCAACTGTTGACCAAACCGGCAGCGGAGGAGTCGCCAGTACCGGTGGCCGTCGGGCGAGGCGTGGAGCAGACGATCGTGCCGGAGACTGCGATGAACCCGCCGGCGACCAGGTCGGAGCTCGAGGTAAAGCGTCGGGCCGCACGGGCGGTGACGCGGTTGGGACTGGGCGACCTCTGGCTGGAGACCAAACCCCCCCCGTTGCTCAACGTGTCCATCCCGTTGCTGGAGGTGGACACGCTGCCGGTGGCGGTGATGGCGGCGGCAGCGGTGGTGGCGGTGTTGCCCGTGGAACCTCTACCGCTGCCGCCGACGGAGGCGATCGTCGAGCCGTAGCTGGAGCCGGGGCGGACGATGGTCGGGAGGCGTCCGGAGGTCAGGGGAGGAGTGGGATTGGCGGCGGCGGCGTTGTTTCTGCTGGCGCTGAGAAATATGGGAATGAAGCCGAAGAAGCCCTTGGCGTTGATCCAGATAGAGGAGGAAAAGGAGGTGGAGATAGAGATGGTGCTGCTGCTGACGATGGTCAGACTGATAATGAAAATGATGCCGATCAAAGCAGTGATGGAGATGTTGGTGATGTTCATGTAGTCAAGGGTGGAGATGGTGAAGTCAAGAGTGGAGATGGTGGTGCTGATAAACTGGAGGGTGGAGATATTGCTGGTGCGCATGAAGTCAAGGGTGGAGATGTTGCTGGTGCTGATGAAGGCAAGCGTGGAGATGATGAAGGCAAGCGTGGAGATGATGAAGGCAAGCGTGGAGATGTGATGAAATCTTGGGTGGAGATTGTTGATGAAATCATGGGTGGAGATGATGAACTCAAGGGTGGAGAAGTTACTGGTGTTAATCGAGTCAAGGGTGGAGATGTAGCTGGTGTTGATCATCTCAAGAAGGGAGACGTTGGTGTTGATCAACTGAAGAAGGGAGATGTGGCTGGTGTTGGTCAACTCAAGAAGGGAGATGTTGGTGTTGATCATCTCAAGAAGGGAGATGTGGCTGCCGTTGATCAACTCAAGAAGGGAGATGTTGGTGTTGATCATCTCAAGAAGGGAGATGTGGCTGGTGTTGATCAACTCAAGAAGAGAGATGTTGGTGTTGATCAGCTCAAGAAGGGAGATGTGGCTGGTGTTGATCAACTCAAGAAGAGAGATGTTGGTGTTGATCAGCTCAAGAAGGGAGATGTGGCTGGTGTTGATCATCTCAAGAAGGGAGATGTTGGTGTTGATCAGCTCAAGAAGGGAGATGTGGCTGGTGTTGATCATCTCAAGAAGGGAGCCATTGGTGTTGATCAACTGAAGAAGGGAGATGTGGCTGGTGTTGATCAACTGAAGAAGGGAGATGTTGGTGTTGATCATCTCAAGAAGAGAGACACGGCTGATGTTGATCACCTGAAAAAGGGAGATGTGGCTGGTGTTGATCAACTGAAGAAGGGAGATGTTGGTGTTGATCATCTCAAGAAAAGAGACACGGCTGATGTTGATCACCTGAAAAAGGGAGATGTGTCTGGTGTTGATCATCTCAAAAAGAGAGATGTAGCTGGTGTTGATCAACTCAAGAAGGGAGATGTGGCTCATGTTGATCATCTCAAGAAGGGAGATGTGGCAGGTGTTGATCAACTGAAGAAGGGAGATGTTGCTGGTGTTGATCAACTCAAGAAGGGAGATGTTGCTGGTGTTGATCAACTCAAGAAGGGAGATGTTGCTGGTGTTGATCATCTCAAGAAGGGAGATGTGGCTGGTGTTGATCATCTCAAGAAGGGAGATGTTGATCAACTCAAGAAGGGAGATGTTGGTGTTGATCAACTCAAGAAGAGAGACGTTGGTGTTGATCATCTCAAGAAGAAAGACACGGCTAATGTTGATCAACTCAAAAAGGGAGATGGGGCTGGTGTTGATCATCTCAAGAAGGGAGATGTGGCTAGTGTTGATCAACTCAAGAAGGAAGATGTGGCTGATGTTGATCAACTCAAGAAGAGAGATGTGGCTGGTGTTGATCAACTAAAGAAGGGAGATGGGGCTGGTGTTGATAATCTCAAGAAGGGAGACGCGGCTGGTGATGATCAACTCGAGAAGGGAGATGTGACTGGTGGTGATCATCTCAAGAAGGGAGATGTTGGTGTTGATCAACTCAAGAAGGGAGATGTGGCGGGTGTTGATCAACTCAAGGGATGTGTTGCTCATGTTGATCATCTCAAGAAGGGAAGTGTGGCTTATGTTGATCAACTCAAGAAAGGAGATGCTGGTGTTGATCAACTCAAGAAGGGAGATGTGGCTGGTGTTGATCAACTCAGGAAGGGTGATGTTGCTGGTGTTGATCATCTCAAGAAGGGAGATGTTGCTGGTGTTGATCAGCTCAAGAAGGGAGATGTGGCTGGTGTTGATCAACTCAAGAAGGGAGATGTGGTGGGTGTTGATCAACTGAAGAAGGGAGATGTGGCGGGTGTTGATCAACTCAAAAAGGGAGATGTGGCTAGTGTTGATCAACTCAAAAAGGGAGATGTGGCTAGTGTTGATCAACTCAAGAAGGGAGATGTGGCTGGTGTTGATCAACTCAAAAAGGGAGATGTGGCTAGTGTTGATCAACTCAAAAAGGGAGATGTGGCTAGTGTTGATCAACTCAAGAAGAGAGACGCGGCTGGTGTTGATAAACTGAAGAAGGGAGATGTTGGTGTTGATCATCTCAAGAAGGGAGATGTTGCTGGTGTGGATCATCTCAAGAAGGGAGATGTTGCCGGTGTGGATCATCTCAAGAAGGGAGATGTGGCTGGTGTTGATCATCTCAAGAAGGGAGATGTGGCTGGTGTTGATCATCTCAAGAAGGGAGATGTTGCCGGTGTGGATCATCTCAAGAAGGGAGATGTTGCTGGTGTGGGTCATCTCAAGAAGGGAGATGTTGCTGGTGTGGATCATCTCAAGAAGGGAGATGTTGGTGTTGATCATCTCAAGAAGGGAGACGCGGCTGGTGTTGATCATCTCAAGAAGGGAGATGTTGCCGGTGTGGATCATCTCAAGAAGGGAGATGTGACTGGCGTTGATCAACTCAAGAAGGGAGATGTTGCTGGTGTGGATCATCTCAAGAAGGGAGATGTGGCTGGTGTTGATCAACTCAAGAAGGGATATATTGGTGTTGATCATCTCAAGAAGGGAGATGTGACTGGTGGTGATCAACTCAAGAAGGGAGATGTGGTGGGTGTTGATCATCTCAAGAAGGGAGATGTTGGTGTTGATCAACTCAAGAAGGGAGATGTGGCTGGTGTTGATCATTTCAAGAAGGTAGATGTCGCTGGTGTTGATCAGCTCAAGAAGGGAGCCGTTGGCGTTGATCAACTCAAGAAGGGAGATGTGGCGGGTGTTGATCAACTCAAGAAGGGAGATGTGGCTGGTGTTGATCACCTCAAGAAGGGAGATGTGGCTGGTGTTGATTCTCTCAAGAAGGGAGATGTGGCTGGTGTTGATCAACTCAAGAAGGGAGATGTTGCTGGTGTTGATCAACTCAAGAAGGGAGATGTGACTGATGTTGATCAACTCAAGAAGGGAGATGTTGCTGGTGTTGATCAACTCAAGAAGGGAGATTTGGCTGGTGTTGATCAACTCAAGAAGGGAGATGTGGCTGGTGTTGATCAACTCAAGAAGGCAGACGCGGCTGGTGTTGATCAACTCAAAAAGGGAGATGTTGGTGTTGATCAACTCAAGAAGGGAGATGTTGGTGTGGATCATCTCAAGAAGAGAGATGTGACTGGCGTTGATCAACTCGAGAAAAGAGATGTTGCTGGTGTGGATCAGCTCAAGAAGGGAGATGTTGGTGGTGTTGATCAACTCAAGAAGGGAGATGTGGCTGGTATTGATCATCTCAAGAAGGGAGATGGCGCTGGTGTTGATCAACTCAAGAAGGGAGATGTGGCTGGTGTTGATCAACTCAAGAAGGGAGATGGGGCTGGTGTTGACCAACTCAAGAAGGGAGATGGGGCTGGTGTTTACCAACTCAAGAAGGGAGATGTGGCAGGTGTTGATCAACTCAAGAAGGGAGATGTGGCTGGTGATGATCAATGCAAGAAGGGAGATGTGGCTGGTGATGATCAATGCAAGAAGGGAGATGTGGCTGGTGTTGATCAACTCAAGACGGGAGATGTGGCTGGTGTTGATCAACTCAAGAAGGGAGACGTTGGTGTTGATCATCTCAAGAAGAGAGATGTGGCTGGTGTTGATCAACTCAAGAAGGGAGATGTTGCTGGTGATGATCAATGCAAGAAGGGAGATGTGGCTAGTGTGGAGCAACTCAAAGGTGGAGATTATGGTGGCATTCGTAAAGTCAAGGGTCGTGTTGACGAAATGAAAGATGTTGACGAAGTTAAAGAACTAAAAAAAGGAATTGTTGCCACAGTTGATGAAGTTGAGGGTGGAGAAGACGATGTAATTATTGGTGGAGCCAAGAAGACAGCCGATTCCGTTGACGCTCAAACCGAGGGTGGAGATGGGGGCGGCGTCGTTGGAGACCAGGCTAACGGGAGAGATGGCAGAGGAGACGCCACCTCTTCTGTCAGCTCAGCACCCAACATCGGCGGGGACGACGACGAAGATGATTCCCTCAACGTGGACGAGTCTTGCGATCGCGAAGGAGACAGCGCTGGTGATGCTGCTGTTGCAGCCGCTCGTCGTCATGAGCTCGGTGTCGGTGGAGCTGGAGGTGAAGTTGTCGGTGGAGCCGATGGTGGCGATGGTGGTCGCGTTGACAGGATCCTTGCTGCTGATGGCACAGCTGACGGCAATGCTGCCGCTGATGTTGGTGAGCACAATGCTGACGGAGCCCTCGGCCTACAAGGTGACAAATCTTCTGGCGCAGACGACAAACTGGACAAAGGGGCTTCGGAGGGCGAGGGGCACCCGGTCAAAATAGCCGATGGAGAAGGAGTAGAGCAAGCCGGACCGGGGGTTACGGGTCAGGAGTCGCACCTGGACACAAACTTCCGAGTGCACGGCCAGGACGAGTCCTCGAAGGAAGCCACGAGCGAGAAGAAAAAGATTGTGAAGGAACGGTCAGAGGAGGACAAGGAGGAGAACAAGGAGGAGGAGCGGGAGGACTGCGGGAAATCAGCGGAGAGAGGAGGCCACTCCTCGAAGAACGACGGCAAAGACCCCGACGTCCGCCTCCCCCCGGAGGACCCCGAGGCCCAGCAGCGGACTGCCAACGAGCCGGCGCAGCCCGAGGCCGCCGAAGCGGCAGGAGATTCGGCCAAACCCGAATCGTCGGCAACGGCCGGGGACGCCGGCCGGCTCGAAACGGCGACGGAGACGACTCCGGGAGTCGGCGGCGAGGAGGAGGACACGACGTCCGCGGGTCGCCAAATGGACGCCGGCGATTTGAGGCCTCCAGACTGCGACGCCGGCCGAGCGGCCGCCCCTGGCAGGGGCGGCGGAAGGAGGCGCGGCGGCCGCGGGAAGGCGAGGGTGGTGGAGAGGAGCAAGCTGCCGTCGGCCGGGCAGGAGAGCGAGCAGCGGGAGGGAGGAGAGGGCGGAGAAGAGGGGGAGGGAGGAGGGGAGCCGAGGTGGACTCTACGGAGGTCGACGCGGATCTCGCGCCTGCCCCCGCCGAGCTACGACGAAGCGGGGGCGGCCGCAACATCGGCGGCATCGGAGGCGGCGGCGGCGAAAGAGATGAAGGGGAAACGCGGCCGGAGCGACGTGGCCGGGGACGTGGGGAGGTCGCAGGGGTCGAGGCAGGAGGCCGTCAAGCGCAAGGTGAGTGGGGCTGGTGGCGGCGCCGGGCCACTTTTTTTTTTTCATTTGGATATTGTTGTTACGGTGCATGAGAGATTGGTGTCAGAAACATGTGGCACTACTTGAGTCATATTGGCTGGCACGAGACAAATGACAAAATGTGCATTGGACACCCATGGGTCGTGGTGATGGTGATAGACTGCACTATACACTACTATGCACTGCACTATACACTACTATGCACTACACTATACACTACACTACTATGATGTGCACTACTTGAGCATATTGGCACAAGACGGAGAGGAAAATGGTAACAACAAATGGCAAAATATGCATTGGACACCTACTAAAGGCTATCTGCCCATGGGTCATGATGATGATGATACACTGCACAATAAACTACGCTATACACTATACTATACACGACTATACACTACACTACTATGATGTGCACTACTTGAGCATATTGGCACAAGAGAGAGACGATAGTGGAAACAACAAAAGGAAAAATATGCATTGGACACCTACGAAGGGCGATCTGCCCATGGATCGTGATGATGATCACGTATCTATGTTCGTGGTGAACTCGGCAACAACGAGCGGAGCGCCGGGCGGCTGGAACGTGGCGAGTTGGCACAGTCAGAGGCACCCGTCGTGCATCGGCCGGTCATCTCATTCAGTCTACCCCATGGCACCTGGGTCTGTCCTGTTACCTCCACTTACACACCCTGCAGAACAGGGGGGAAAACAAGCAAACGCCACACACCATACGAGGCAAGTGCTGTTAGCGAGTAGCACCCATTAAGATCGGCACAGCACACGAGGGGGGTGGGTGGCCAGCAGCACGCCCGGCCGCCTTTGTCTCCCTCGTGGTGATGTTTCCACACAGCACCAGGTACTGAGTCGACCGAGTGGAGGCCCAGCACTTTTTCAGATAATTGTCACTGGCCGTGAGCGGGAATTGAACTCGGGTCACGAGGCTTGTAGCGCAGCACGCGAACCACTGCACCGCCGCTCCCCATACACAACGAAACAAAGATCCCCCTGTAGCCTTACCGGACTGTAGGGGCAAGTGCTGTTAGCGAGTAGCACCTATGAAGGCCGCCATGCCACACAAAAGGTTGTCGTGATGTTGCCGCTTTGTATGCGCTTGATGATGACGACGAAGTTATTGCCTCTGATGTTAACGATGTTGTCTTTGTCATCACCTTCATCTCACGTGCTCTCTACCGTTACCACCGCCACTACCCACCACCATCACCGCCATTACCACCATCATCACCACTGTCAAAACCACTTCCACCGCCACTGTTACAACCGCCACCACCATATCTACCACCTCTAACCACCGCCACTTCTTCCGCCACTACCACCACCATCACCGCCACTACCACCATCATCACCCTTACCACCACCACCATATCCACTACCCACCACCATCACCGCCACTACCACCATCATCACCCTTACCACCACTGTTACCACCACCACCATATCCACTACCTCTACCATCACCGCCACTGCCGTCACCGCCAACATCACCACCACGGTCACCAGCGCACGCCGGGCCGACGGCAAGGCGCCAACAAGCGCCCGCGTGGCGCCGGCGGCCGGAGCAAGCGCAAGCGTTGGTCGCGGTGGTGCAACGCGGACACGGAGAGCGAAGACGAGGATGACGAGCAGGAGCAGGAGGAGGAGGAGTTCCTGATGGACGGCCTGCAGCGCAACGACGACGACGAGGAGGGGGACGGCATCGTCTACGGCGGGGCGCGGTGGCCCCGGCTGGCGCCCGCAGAGCGGCGCGCCGACGAGGCCAAGGCGACGGAGGGCGGCGGCGAGGCGGAGGGCGAGGATGTGGATGGCGAAGAGGAGGAGGAGGAGGAGGAGGACGATGACGAGGAGGGAGGGGAGGTGGAGGAGGAAGGGAAGGAGGGGCGGGACAGCGGGCAGGAGCAGGTGGAGGTGGTTGAGGAGGATCCCTGTAAGAAGTGTGGACTCTCCAACCATCCTGAGCTGGTACGGGCCCACGAGAGTGACGATACCACCAGCATCACCAGCATCACCACCATCACCACCACCAGCATCACCACCATCACCACCACCACCACCACCAGCATCACCACCACCAGCATCACCACCACCACCAGCATCACCACCATCACCAGCATTACCACCACCATCACCAGCATTACCACCACCATCACCAGCATCACCACCACCAGCATCACCACCACCACCAGCATCACCACCACCACCAGCATCACCACCACCACCAGCATCACCACCATCACCACCAGCATCACCATCACCACCACCACCCCTCCGCACAGCCACTATCGACCACGCAGACTGATGGGGCCAAGTTAACTATAATACTAAATCCACCGTGTCCCCTATAAACGAGCGATCCCAATCCCCCATTTCCCCTATAAACGAGCGATCCTAATCCCCCCGTGTCCCCTATAAACGAGCGATCCCAATCCCCCGTGTCCCCTATACACAAGCAATCCCAATCTCCTCGTGTCCCCTATAACGAGTGATCCCAATCCCCCATTTCCCCTATAAACGAGCGATCCTAATCCCCCCGTGTCCCCTATAAACGAGCAATCCCAATCCCCCGTGCCCTCTATAGACAAGCGATTCCAATCCCCCGTGTCCTCTATAAACGAGCGATCCCAATCCCTCGTGTCCTCTATAAACGAGAGATTCCAATCCCCCTGTGTCCCCTATACACAAGCAATCCCAATCCCGTCATGTACCCTATAAACGAGCGATCCCAATCCCCCTGTTTCCCCTATAGACGAGCGATTCCAATCACAGATGTGACATCACCGCTCGCTTGCCGTGCAAAATATTATATCCATTATTGCGCCCCCCCCCCCCCCCCCAAATACAAAAGTCTATTTTAATACTTTTTGCATTGTGTACAGTCTGGAAGCTACCCACATGCCAAATTTCAAGTTTGTTGCATGTTGGGAAGTATGCTAAACATTTCGAACAGACACACATATTCACAAATTTCCCTTTTATATATATCGATAAATGTTTCTGGGTTTGATCGTGTAAGTATAGATGTGTCGTAACCCTCCACCACCCGACACAGCCAATTGGTAAGGGATTTGTCACGTAAAACAAAACACCAATTTAGCTACTACTTCAGCCCGCCGGTGTGTTGGAGAGTAAATCCACAACATTTACAATTTGAGTTGTACGACGTTTCGCTGGTTATTACATGAACCGGCATCATCGGGCGATTTGACAGAATATTCTGGCAAATCGCCCAATGTGTGTGCTGCTGCTGCTGATTTTGCTGCTGGTGGTGATGGTGATGCAAATGATGCCGCTGCTGATGATAATGCTGTTGCTATTTCTGCTGTTGCTATTGCTGCTGATGGCAATGCTGGTGATGGTAATGATGGCGATGGTGCTACTTCTGCTGATGCTAACGATGATACTGCTGCTGACGATCTACTGACTGATGCTTTTACTGCTGCTGCTGCTTCTACTCCTACTGATGATGATGCTGCTACTGCTGCCGCTTCCATCGCCGCCACTGCTTCTCTTCCCACTGATGATGATCTTCTTGGTTCTTTCGGTAAAGTCACGTAGAATGGAAATAATAAAATAATAAAAATAAACATAATAAAATAATTCTCACGACGTTTCGGCCACAACGCAAGCAGACGTCCTAAGGTGAAGAATAGGTCTGTCGAGAAGACAGAGTCTGAATGAAATAACCCCAGGCTTGGAGCGTCTATTTAAGCTGGGTTGGAGGGGGAAGAGCGCCTTGACAAAATAATTTGCATATCAAGAGGAATTTAGCATATTTATGGGAAATGCAGATATGGGATTAGTACTACTTGTCAAATGCGTAGGAGGTGGGCGGGGGGTTTTGTCAAGGCGCTCTTCCCCCTCCAACCCAGCTTAAATAGACGCTCCAAGCTTGGGGTTGTTTCATTCAGACTCTGTCTTCTCGACAGACCTATTCTTCACCTGAGGACAGCTGCTTACGTTGTGGCCGAAACGTCGTGAGAATAATTTAATGTTTATTATTTTATTATTTCCATTCTACGTGACTTTACCGAACGAACCAAGAAGATGAATCCCTGCAGTCACGAAAGCTTTAAATCGAAACTGATGATGATGTTGACGATTCTGCCCGTGCGCGCGTCTCTCTGTCTGTGCGCGCGTGCAGATCCTGCTGTGTGACTCGTGCGACAGCGGCTACCACACGGCGTGCCTGCGCCCCCCGCTCATGCTCATCCCCGACGGGGAGTGGTATTGCCCGCCCTGTGAGCACGTACGTCCCACGCGAACCCGTCCAACCGCCCACCATGTGCCGCTAGCGAGGGTGGGGGGCGGGGTTTAGGGTTGAGTGCTCCAGCAAGTGGGCGGCAGTGGCATCGCCTCGTGCCCGCACAGTCAACAAGCGTCAGCCGAGTTTCGATTCTCGACTCGGGCGCCTTGCCACTTGGAGTTAGTCAGTGATGCCCCTGTTCTGCAGAGTGTGTGAGTGAATGAGTGCGAGTGAGAGTGTGTGTGTGTAGAGTTTGTATGTGCTCCCCCTGTTGAGTGAATGAGTGTGAGTGAGAGTATTTGTGTGTGTGTAGAGTTTGTATGTTCTACCCCTGTTCTGCAGACTGTGTGAGTGAACGAGTGTGAGTGAGAGTAATGTGTGTGTGGAGAGTTTGTGTTCTCCGCCGTCTGTTCTGCAGAGTGTATGAGTGAGAGTGTGTGTGTGTAGAGTTTGTGTGTTCTACCCCTGTTCTTCAGAGTGTGTGAATGAATGAGTGTGAGTGAGAGTGTGTGTGTAGAGTTTGTGTGTTCTACCCCTGTTCTGCAGAGTGTGTGAGTGAATGAGTGTGAGTGCGAGTGTGTGTAGAGTTTGTGTGTGCTCCCCCTGTTCTGCAGAGTGTGTGAGTGAATGAGTGTGAGTGAGAGTAATATGTGTGTGTGTAAAGTTTGTGTGTTCTTCCCCTGTTCTGCAGAGTTTGAGTGAATGAGTGTGAGTGAGATTGGGTGTGTGGGTAGAGTTTGTGTGTTCTACCCCTCTTCTGCAGAGTGTGTGAGTGAATGAGTGTGAGTGAGAGTGTGTGTGTGTGTGTAGAGTTTGTGTGTTCTACCCCTGTTCTGCAGAGTGTGTGAGTGAATGAGTGTGAGTGAGAGTGTGTGTAGAGTTTGTGTGTGCTCCCCCTGTTCTGCAGAGTGTGTGAGTGAGTGATTACGTGAGTAAGAGTGTGTGAGTAAGTAAGTGATTACGTGAGTGAGTGTGTGTGTGAGTGATTACGTCAGTGTGTGAGTGAGTGATTACGTGAGTGAGTGTGTGAGTGAGTGAGTGATTACGTGAGTGAGTGTGTGAGTGAGTGAGTGATTACGTGAGTGAGTGTGTGAGTGAGTGAGTGATTACGTGAGTAAGAGTGTTTGAGTGAGTGAGTGATTACGTGAGTAAGAGTGTGTGAATGAGTGAGTGATTGCATGAGTGTGAGTGTGTGCGTGCGCGTGAGAGCGCGTGCCCAGCCACCGCATGCCCCAAGCAGCTTCCGTTTGGCCGGATAGAGTGGGCGGCAGAATGGGCACGACCTCCTGCATACCAGGCGAGGTAATTAACATCGTTCCCCCGCCCTGTCCCCCACCGGCAGAAGAAGCTGTGCGTGAAGCTGCAAGAGGCGTTGACGGACCTCGACGCGATGCTCAAGAAGAAGGAGCGGGCGGAGAGAAGGTGGGGCAGTGGGGGGGGGGGGCATGTGGGGGGGCTGAATGGTTGTTGTTGATGGTGACGATGGTGATGATGGTGATGGCGATACGCAAGTAATCGGATTGCTTGAGTAATTTTGATCACTTGAGTAATCCGATTACTTTAGTGATTAAATTCGCCGAGTAATCCGAATACTTGGGCGATCGGATCAGTTGACCGTTCCGATTACTTGAGCATTCCTATTACCGGAGTAATCCGATTACTTGAGAAATCGGATCAGTTGACCATTCCGATTACTTGAGCATTCCTATTATCGGAGTAATCTGATTACTTGAGAAATCGGATCAGTTGATCGTTCCGATTACTTGAGCATTCCTATTACCGGAGTAATCCGATTACTTGGGCAATCGGATCAGTTGACCGTTCCGATTACTTGAGCATTCCGATTACTTGAGCATTCCGATTACCGGAGTAATCCGATTACTTGAGCGATCAAATCAGTTGACCGTTCCGATTACTTGAGCATTCCGATTACCTGAGTAATCCGATTACTTGAGCGATCGGATCAGTTGACCATTCCAATTACGTGAGCTTTACGATTACCGGAGTAATCTGATTACTTGAGCATTCGGATCAGTTGACCATTCCGATTACTTGAGCATTCCGATTACCGGAGTAATCCGATTACTTTAGCTCTTCGATTACAGCCCTGCTCTGGTAGCCCCAGTTGAGTCGAACCACCGGCTGAACTTTTTTTTGTGACTTTGCGGAGAGAGCGGTGGCCCAGCGGTTAGCGCACTGCGCTAGGAACACGGCGACCCGAGTTTCGATTCCCGTCCGCTGCCAACGTCGGCGACGAAACACGCGAACCAGTCCAGCACCCTCCCCTAGGTCGACTCGGCCTCAAATGATTACACTGGTCAACAAAAAAAGAACATTTTTTTCTGGCCTGGACTTTTGCAGCTGCTCTAGACTAATTTCAGGGTGCTGATTCCAAATCTGATTTCAGATTTGCTCTATCACATCTCATTTTTATGCTATCGGCATACCCCATTTTCATTGATTTTACCCGAAATTAACTCTGTCACTTATGATTGCAAGTTGTTGTGAGTCAGTGACTGCTTTAGTGTTAAAATATGGTGCTGTATTTTTAGGATAGTGTGTTTATAATATCATTTTATGTAGATATCCACATTTATTTAATATTTTTCTTCCGCAGTTTTTATTGAAAATGCAATATTTTATATCTCAAAAACCTCCTGATCTGATAGACAAAAACTGATGCCAGATTTGGAATCAGCACCCCAAAATCACCTTACAACCATTGGAATACCTTATGCCAGAAAAAGTGTGTTGACCAGTGAATTATCCGTTGCGATGTGTGACGGTGCCGGCACCCTCCCCTAGGTCGACTCGGCCTCAAATGATTATCTGTTGCGATGTGTGACGCCCCGTTCTGGCGCTGTGACGGCACTTGCCTCCCCTGCAGCGCGTGAAAGGCTACACGGGGATCTTTGTCTTTGTGTTTTTTCCCACGTCGCAGGAAGGAACGGAGCATCTACCTGGGAGTCAACACGGAGAACATCATCAATCCGGCCATCAAGGTGCGTTGAATGGCCCTCTTGGGTTTCTGTCCCGTGCCCCAGGAGCTTCCGATAACTCTGAACAGGCTGCTGCTGCCGTTGCTGCTGCTGCAGCTGCTGCTGCCATTGCTGTTGCAGCTGCTGCTGCTGCTGCTGCTGCTGCCGCTGCTGCTGCTGCCGCTGCTGCTGCTGCTGCTGCTGCTGCCGCTGCTGCAGCTGCTGCCGCTGCTGCCGCTGCAGCTGCTGCTGCCGCTGCCGCTGCTGCAGCTGCTGCTGCTGCTGCAGCTGCTGCTGCTGCTGTACAGAGCACTGTCTCGGCCACCGCTGGAATCCTACTGCTGATGATGCTGACAACGACGATGCTACTGCAGCTGACGATGATGATGCTATTGCTGCTGTTAACAATGATGTTGCTATTGCTGCTGCTAACAATGATGTTGCTATTGCTACTGATGCTGCTGATGATGATGCTATTGCTGCTACTGACAGTGATATTGATGCTATTGCTAATGCTGACAATAATGTTGCTAATGCTGCTTCTGCTGACAATAATGATGCTGCTGCAGCTGATAACGAAGATTTGATTGCTGCTCCTGTTGATGCTCATGATGCTCCTCATGATCATGACAACGACGATGACGACGACGATAATGACGGTGTCGTCGCGGGCAGACAGCGACGCTGCATGCTGCTCCTCCGGCAGGGCATTGCTCGTCGCCCCTGCCGGCGGAGGAGCGTGCGGAGCTGCACGCTCTGCTGCTGCTGATGACGACGATGATGACGATGATGATGATGATGACGATGATGATGCTATTACTGTTGACGCTGCTGCTGCTGCTGCTGATGATGATGGTATTGCTGTTGATCCTGCTGCGATGATGACGATGCTGCTGCTGATGACGACGATGATGGTATTGCTGATGATGCTGCTGATGATGATGATGACGACGATGATGATGACGATGATGCTATTGCTGTTGACGCTGCTGATGATGATGATGGTATTGCTGATGATGCTGCTGATGATGATGATGACGACGATGATGGTATTGCTGTTGACGCTGCTGATGATGATGATGGTATTGCTGCTGCTGCTGCCAATGACGACAACGGTGGTGGTATCATCGCAGGCGGAGAGCGAAGCTGCTGCTGCTGCTCCTTCCCGCTGCACGTCCCCGCCGGAGGCGCAGCGCGCGGAGCTGCACGCCCTGCTGCTGCTGGAGCGGCGCTCGGCACGCGCGAGGCGAGCGCCGGTCAGCTACCGCTTCGAGGCCTTCGACGAGGCCATCGACGAGGCCATCCAGTACGACATGAGGGAGGTCGAGGGTGAGTGGGGGCAAGGGTCACACGGGTGACACGGGTCACACGGGTCACACGGGGACACGGGTCACACGGTGGCACGGGGACAGAGACACGGGACCCAGGACCGGTTCAGATAATCGTCCGCTGCACTACCGCTCTCCACACATACACAACAAAGACAAAGATCCCCCTCGTAGGCCTTAGAATACTTTTTGGGGCAAGTGCTGTTAGCGAGCACCTACGCGCACACACGCTGACACGCGCGCACGCGCGCGCGCTCAACCCCTGCGCCAGTATCGCCGGACAATCGATTCGCTGATTTTTCCCATTTTTCCCTCTGCCGGAATCGCGGCACGCAGGAGCCGGCCTCGGCAAGGACATCGAGAACCTGAAAGCGTCCCGGCCCCGCCCGCCCGCCCCGGTGCATCGTGGGAAGGACATGTCGGCCATCCTGGGGGCGGCCGTGGAAGACGGCGATGATGGGGGCGATGCAGAGGAGGATGAGGATGAGGAGGATGAGGAGGAGGAGGAGACGCGGGGAGCCGGGGGCAAAGGAGTAGTGCAGCCCAAGGAGGAGGAGGAGGAGTTGGTTTCCGGGGAAGGCGAGGTTACCGGGCGCGACGAGGTTGCCGCGGCGATGGGCCGAGGGAGGAAGCGGAGGTACAGGAAGAGGAGGAGGCTGAACGCGCTGGACAGCGAGAGCAGCCGTGACGACTCGCAGGACGAGGAGTACCGCTGCGAGCAGAGGTGAGCGCTCGCCGATGTTTGTTGGGGAGGGGTGGGCGGGTGGGTGGGTGGGTGAGTGGGTGTGTGGGTGGGTGGGTGGGTGAGTGAGTGTGTAAGCGGGTGGGGGGGTGAGTGAGTGTGTGAGCAGGTGGGTGGGTGAGCGAGTGGGTGCGTGAGTGTGTGATCGGGTGAGTGGGTGAGTGAGTGAGTGTGTGATCGGGTGAGTGGGTGAGTGAGTGAGTGTGTGAGCGAGCGGGTGGGTGAGTGAGTGTGTGAGCGGGGTGGGTGGGTGCGTGAGTGAGTGGGTGGGTGAGTGAGTGAGTGCGTGAGCGGGTGGGTGAGTGAGTGAGTGTGTGAGCGGGTGGGTGAGTGAGTGAGTGTGTGAGCGGTGGGTGCGTGAGTGAGTGTGCGAGTGCGTGGGTGGGTGAGTGAATGAGTGTGTGAGCGGGTGGGTGAGTGAGTGAGTGAGTGTGTGAGCGGGTGGGGTGCGTGAGTGAGTGAGTGAGCGGGGGGTGGGTGAGTGGGTGGGTGGGTGGGTGAGTGTGTAGGTGCCGTGTGTGGGTGGGTGGGTGAGTGTGTGGGTGGGTGGGTGGGTGAGTGTGTGGGTGGGTGGGTGGGTGAGTGTGTGGGTGGGTGGGTGGGTGAGTGGGTGGGTGAGTGTGTGGGTGGGTGGGTGGGTGTGTGGGTGGGTGGGTGGGTGAGTGTGTGAGCGGGTAGGTGAGTGAGTGAGTGTGTGATCGGGTGGGTAGTTGAGTGAATGAGTGTGTTTCCCGATGAACATTTGTTCATCAGGAAACGTTTGCGAAAAGGCAGTAGTTCTCATCATCAGGCACAGTAATCATGTGCAGCCTCCAATCTCCTATCATCTACTGCATCCTCTCGTCCTGGCCTCCTCTGTTTCACGTGTCATGAAATAGCCCCATTGCCTGAAACGTCGGTCTAGGCTGTTACGGTCTATTTAAGACCGGTTTAAGAGGAATTCTCCACAATTCTGGCTGTGGCCTGATGATGCCGGTTGTGGTTGTAATCACCGGCGAAGCTTCGTGGCACTTGAATTGAAAAAGTTGTGGTCGTGGGTTTTACTCTCCAACACACACAAGAGGTCAGTGCTGAAGTAGTCACCAGCGGGGGGCACGCTATGTTTACGCTTACATTTACGCGATCTAACCCAACAACAAAATAATCTCGATTTAAAGCTTTCGTGACTGCAGGGATTCACCTTCTTGGTTCTTTCGGTAAAGTCACGTAGAAGGGAAATAATAAAATATAAAAAATAAAACATAATAAAATTTCGATTTAAAGCTTCCGTGACTGCAGGGATTCACCTTCTTGGTTCTTTCGGTAAAGTCACGTAGAAGGGAAATAATAAAATATTAAAAATAAAACATAATAAAATTTCGATTTAAAGCTTTCGTGACTGCAGGGATTCATCTTCTTGGTTCTTTCGGTAAAGTCACGTAGAAGGGAAATAATAAAATAATAAAAATAAAACATAATAAAATACAATTCTCACGACGTTTCGGCCACAACGCAAGCAGCCGTCCTCAGGTGAAGAACAGGGCTGTCAGACGCTGTCTTACCTGCAGTCATAATGCAAACAAAATCAGAGTTATGTGTTTTGTTTGCATTATGACTGCAGGTATTGTGGTCTATGCAAACATGACTCCTTGTAAAAGAAGGTTTCAGTTTTGTTGCCAGATTGAAGGGTAAAAAACCAATTATCTACTAGAGGAGTTTCGCTCTGTCAGGCAACACGTATTCTATTTAACAATTAAACCTCAACGTAAAGGGGTCACCACGGCCCCTTACACCCGACACTCCTCTCACTGGCTATTCTACCCCTTCTTGAGTGAAGCTTCGTCTTCGCTGGTCTATAAGCTGGAGTCGACCCTTGCCAGGGGTACGGCTCTGCCCGTGAGCTCTTTTCTTCAGGAGGCTCTTGGTCTTCGGGTGGATGACGATTGCCCCGGACCGTTCAGAGGTCCGGCTTTTATACAAGTCCGTGGCTCGCTCCGCCCCAGCCACGCCTTCCTTCCAGAACCTTCTCCCAGTTCCTGGAAGGATGACGTCATCCCCCAGCCCCCATCCCCATCCCGGGGTCTGGGGTCTGCGTCCCAGGATCCGTTATCCCATCGGGGATTTTTTTGCACACAGCGTTGGTGTACACGGTGTTTTTTCTGCAATATTTTGCTGTCTTTTTCTTGGATTTTCTGTTTGCACTTAGTCACATATTCACTTTAAGATGTTTTTTGTTCATGTTTTTTTTGTTTGTTGCGGTTGCACCCAATTCAAGAGCCGAATGGCTCACAGGGCTATACCTAATAAATGAACTTGAAAAGTTGAACTTGAAACTTGAAACCGTTGGGCCCCCTGGCCCATAGTTCGTTGACACTGGGGTTACTCACACTACCGCCCCCCTATTGACACGTGTGGGATACTACCGGCTGACAGCATGGAGAGTGCGTCATTACACCTCTACACCTGTTGTGTGTTAGAGAGCAAAGCCACGACTTTTACAATTTGAGTGCAACGTTTCGCAAGTAATTGCAACCGGCTGGTGGACAGCCATATTTGTGGAGAAACCCTGTTTCGTCTTTTTAAATCGAGGGGCAGATGTGATGATGTTACTTGGGAGCTCTTCATGTGCGAAGGGGCGGGAGGGATTATAATGCATATAAATTACAATGGGTATCCATTGCCGGTTGGGTTATTCACATTTATATTTACGCGATATAACCCAAAGCAACCTATGTTATGGATGACATTGGTCGCGAAAGCCTACGCGTTAAAAAAATAGTTTAGTTTAAGTTGAAGAATGATTATTATTATTAACTGTTTATTAATCTTCTTGGTTCTTTCGGTAAAGTCACGTAGAAGGGAAATAATAAAAATAAAACATAATGAAATAATACAAATACAACATTATTATTATGCTTTATTTTTATTATTTTATTATTTCCCTTCTACGTGACTTTACCGAAAGAACCAAGAAGATGAATCCCTGCAGTCACGAATAATAAAATAATAAAAATAAAACATACTAAAGTTAAATAATATAATAATATAATAAAATATTTAAATAAAATTAAATAATATAATCACCACTGCCTCCTCCCTCGTGTCTCCCACCCACCCCCCCTTACCCCCCCTACCCCCCCCCGCGACAGCGAGGTCGAGGAGCAGCTATCGGAGGCGGACTACGAGGAAGAGGAGGGCCTCAGCAGCGGGGGATCGTCCGTCGGTTCGGCCCACGGGCCTCGTGGGGCTCTGAGGCGGGCGCGGGGCGGCCGGGGTGGACGGGGCCGTACCTCGTCGGCGAGGAAGGGCCGCAGGCTGAGGGGACGCCCCGGGCCGAAGAGGAAGAGGAGAAGGAGAGGAGGATTCTCGGATGACGAGGAGGAGGAGGAAGAGGAGGAGGAGGAAGAGGGTGAGTCGCGCGTCGCGTTTAGTTGGGTGCCGAGCGGACGGCAACGAACAGCGCTGTCAGAAAGGTGTTGGAAAAGACGATGGGAGGGGGTTGGCGGGGGGTGGGGAGCTTCGCAGTGGGGAAGGAACGGGAACGTGGTGTGACCCGCGGTGTGGTGAGTGGGTGAGTGGGTTGGTGAGTGGGTTGGTGAGTGAGTGGGCGAGTGAGTCAGTGAATGGGTGAGTGAGCGTTTGAGTGTGTGAGTGAGTGAGCGAGTTAGTAGTTGAGTGTGTGAATGGGTAAGTGAGCATTTTAGTGTGTGAGTGAGTGAGCGAGTGAATGGGTTGGTGAGTGGGTCAGGGCGTGAGCGAGTGAGCGAGTGAGTGAGTGAGTGTTTGAGTGAGCGATTTAGTGGGTGAGTGAATGAGCGAGTGAGTGGGTGAATGGGTGAGTGAGCATTTTAGTGAGCCAGTGAGTGGGTGAGAGTGAGCGAGTGAGTGGGTGAATGGGTGAGTGAGTGGGTGAATGCATGAGTGGGCGAGTGAGTGGGTGAGTGAGCGAGTGAGTGGGTGAATGCATGAGTGAGCGAGTGAGTGGGCGAGTGGGCGAGTGAGTGGGTGAGTTGATGAGTGAGCGAGTGAGTGGGTGAATGGGTGAGTGAGCGATTGAGTGTGTGAGCATTTGAGTGTGTGAGTGAGCGAGTGAGTGGGTGAATGGGTGAGTGAGCATTTTAGTGTGTGAGTGAGCGAGTGAGTGGGCGAGTGAGTGGATGAGTGAGTGGGTGAATGGGTGAGTGAGCATTTTAGTGTGTGAGTGAGTGGACGAGTGGTCGAGTGAGTGAGTGAATGGGTGAGTGTGCGAGCGAGTGAGTGGGTGAATGGGTGCATGAGCGTTTGAGTGGATGAGTGAGTGAGCGAGTGAGTGAGCGGGCGAGTGAGTGAGTTGGTGAATGGGTGAGTGTTGCGGTTAGCATGATGAACAACGAACCTTCGTGACCCGAGTTCGATTCCCGCTCACGGCCAACACGAGTAGCGATTATCTAAACCGGTCCTGGGCACATGAGGGGATGGGTGGCCAGCACCACGGCCGGCCGCTCAAAGTCGAATACACACACACCCACTCACGTGCACAAGCAGTCATAATCCCCGTGTCCCCTACAGACGAGCGATCCCAATTCCCCCGTGTCCTCTATAGTCAACATCTCCTAGCCACCGTGATGATGATGAGAGAGAGAGAGACACGCAAACTCCAAATATACAGCAGCAGGCGTCAGGGTCGGGATCGACCCCACGACCTCCTGCACACGAGGCGAGGTAGTTAACATCTAGCCACCGTGATGATGATGAGAGAGAGAAAGACACGCAAACTCCAAATATACAGCAGCAGGCGTCAGGGGTCGGGATCGACCCCACGACCTCCTGCACACGAGGTGAGGTAGTTAACATCTCCTAGCCACCGTGATGATGATGAGAGAGAGAAAGACACGCAAACTCCAAATATACAGCAGCAGGCGTCAGGGGTCGGGATCGACCCCACGACCTCCTGCATATCAGACGAGGTAGTTAACATCTCCTAGCCACCGTGATGATGATGAAAGAGAGAGAGACACGCAGACTCCCCCCCAACCCCCTCACCCCACCCCCATCACCCCACTCACCCCACCCCCCTCTTCCTCCGCCGCAGGCAGCGAGCTGGGGAGCGACGTGACGGACGAGGACCTGGTGGACTTCCGGTGCCGCCGGTCCCGGCGAGCGACCGCGGCCCGCTCGGTCAACTACCGCGAGGACTCTGAGAGCGCCGGGGAGGAGGGCGCCGGGGGCCGGCGGGCCGGGGGAGGGCCCCAGGGGCGCACCGCCACCATGCTGGCCGCCTTCCGCAAGCGGAAACGGGGACGCAGCTCCGACAGCGAAGGTAACGGGGGTCGAGGTTCGGGTGACGCTGGGGTCCGGTGTACGGGCTCGGCAAGGGTCCGAGTGTAATGTGAGGATATATCCGTCTCACTGACGTATCACAACTCGTCTTGATGATTGGCTCTGCCGGTCCTGGTTTATAGCCAATGGGGGGGAAGCCTGGGGACGTGGCCCTGACGTGATGGAAAGGTGACAGCTGTAAGGATTGGTTCTGCTGGCTTTGGCCTCAGCCAATGGGGAGACGAGTCAGGGGCGTGGCCCTGACGTGATGGAAAGGTGACAGCTGTAAGGATTGGTTCTGCTGGCTTTGGCCACAGCCAATGGGGAGAGGAGTCAGGGGCGTGGTCCCGGGAGCTGACGAGGGAGCCTGGAAGATTCCATGGAGGCTAACGAGGATTGGCGGAAACGTACCACGTGACCCGGGTATTAAATAGGGGTGGAGACAAACGACACGTGGTCAGAACGGGAACGAACGGAGGAAGGGGGCCACGCGGGAGCGGGGCTCCGGGTTGCCACGTGGTCCAGGCTGCCACGTGGTCCAGGCTGCCACGTGGTCCAGGCTGCCACGTGGTCCAGGCTGCCACGTGGTCCAGGCTGCCACGTGGTCCAGGCTGCCACGTGGTCCAGGCTGCCACGTGGTCCAGGCTGCCACGTGGTCCAGGCTGCCACGTGGTCCAGGCTGCCACGCGGTCCAGGCTGCCACGTGGCAGTGCGTCTCTCTATCTGTCCCTCTCACGCTGCCTGTCAGCAGCGCGAAGGAAAGCTGTAATACAAGTTGAATAAAAGACGGATTCCAGAAGTCGCCTCAACGAGATTTATTACACGAGTATGGGTGAGGTATTAGTTCAGGAGGGGTTCGGCAGGGGTATGGTACGGACGCGGGACCGGGTTCTGTACCGTTCCAGTACGGATGTGGTACGGGCACAGTATGGTTACGGGCTCGGTAGGGGGGTTTACAGTGTGGGTATTGTACGAGTCTGGCACGGGTTCGGTTTGGACACAATACGGGCTCAGTACGGCTTGAGGAGGGGGCACGGTGCGGGTTTGTTGGGGCTTCTGGAGGGGTTCGGTGCGGGCTTGGTGGAAGTACGGCTTGCAACAGGTTCAGTTTGGTAGGCGCTCAGTAGAGGCACGGTAGAGGTTCAGTACGGGTTTATTATGGGTTCGGTACAGAAGCTCGTTTGACTCTTGTGTCTGTGTCTGTCTTTCTCACTCCGTCTCTCTCTGTTGGTCTCACTGTCTCTGGGTCTCTGTCTCACTCTGTCTCTCTCTCTCTTGGTCTCACTCTCTCTCTGGGTCTCATCTCAGGCTCACTGTCCCCCGTGTGTCTCTGTCTCTCGGTATCTCTCCGTCTCCCTCTCTCCGTGTCTCTGTGCCTCTGGTTATCGACAACAATTCCGAATCGCGACGACGCTAACAACAACAACGCACCCCGCCACGTTCCCCGTCGCGTTAACCGCTGCGTGTGTCCCCCCGGATGCCAGAGAGCGAGGCCTCGCGCAGCGACGCCTCCGACGACGACGGCCGCCCCGCCGTCAAGCGCCACCGCAACCGCCTCGACTCCTCGTCCTCATCCTCCTCGCCCTCCTCGCCCTCCTCCTCCGCGTCGCCCGCACGGCGCGACGACGACCGGACGAACGGCCGGGAGGGAGCCGCCTCGTCGGAACGGGCGCCGGCCAACGGAGGAAGGACGACGGGCGACGGCGCCGGCCACGACGGGGGTCACCCGCCGCCGCCGCCGCCACGAGCCACCCCCGTCCCGCCGGGCCTGTCAACCACGAGGAGGAGGGTGGACGATGACGACGATGGCGGCGACGACGACGATGCGGTGGAGGACGACGTCGATGACGTGGATCTCCTGGACGTCGCCGATCTGGTGGAGTACGTGTGCAACAGCGGCAGCGTGCTCTAACCGCGACCGGCGGTCGTTGGTTCGTGGTTGGCCGCCGCGGTTGTTTGCCGGTGGCTCTCGCGAAGACGGAACTGTGTGGACGGGGGCCGCAGCCGTCGTGCGACGGTGTGTTCATATTTGACTCGCTCCTTTCTTTTTTTACACCACTTGACTTTAACCTCCCGGCTGTCGTTCGTGAGGGGGGGGGGGGACCGCACTGAACGGAACGATTCCCCGCTCACCCTCCCGCTCCGCTCGCTCAGATCCGCAACGTTGGCGCGTGGAAGAGGTGTTCATTCGTAAGCCGCCTGTGAGCAATATGGCGGCGGCGGCGGTTGTTGTTGTTGATGTTGTTGCGGCTGCTCGAAAAGGAACTAATGACGGAGCAATCGCCAAAACGGTGTTAACTTTTAAAACTTTAATTTTTTTGTACTGTTATCCAATAATGATGCCACGTTAAACGCCCGCCCCACCCCCCTCCTCTTCCGGCGGTGGGGGTGGCGGTGGTCGTCGTGGTGGTCGTGGTGGTGGTGGGGGTGGGGGTGATAGTCGTGGTGGTGTTGGCGGTGGCGGTCGTGGTGGTGGCGGTTGTTTTGATTTAATGAGCGGGGGAGCTGGAATGAACGGGGCGATCCCGTGCCCGCCGCGCTGCTCTAACGAACCACCGCGCCCCCCCACCTCCCTCCCCCGACACAAAGCGCCGTCCAAATATTTCTCAAGACGCGTTTGTAATTAAATCGCTCGCGCCGCTCGTCATGATTACCGCTAACGGCGTGCGACGGACGGGTTCCGGCGGTGGAAATTCCACATTACTGTGGCAAGATGGAGCCTTGTACACCCCTCTCACCACCCCCACCGCCCCCCCCCCCCACCTCCAATACATGCATAGCACGGCCTCCACGTCCGACATCATCTGCACAAAGTGGTACTCGTTTTATCGACCGTGAAGAACCGATGAAGATGATGGGCGGGGATTTGAACTTGCGACCTTCAGTTTGCTGAGAAGTCGATCTCCACTCCGCGGCCGGGATGAACTGACAGTAGTCGTAGTGTTATTGTTGTTGTTGTTATCGTCATCATCATACTTGTTATTATTGCCGTCGCATAACTATCCTTCGTGTACATTCGTTCGTTGACGCTTTTCTACAAGAAGTGGGTCCGTCGCTGTGGGCGTGAAGCCGGCTCCACTCCCCCCCTGCCCCCCCCCCCCCCCCCCTCCGAGCAATAGACCGAGCAACTCTGGTTGCTCAGGTTGTTGCATGCAACTGCATACCGGGTTGAGCGCCGCCGCGACCTTTGACCTTCACCGCAAAATTATTCCGGCATCTGGTCAGTAGTTATGGACCTCGCCCCCCCCCCCCCACTTCCCACTCGACTAACTTGGCGCGCGGGTGAAAGTCTGCAAACCTGAAACGGGCAACATCTTCCTTACTTCCTGTCCCTTCCCTACATCCAAAATAAACCGCGCACGGCGCAGGCTGGTTGTGCCAGGCTGGTTATGCCAGGCTGGTTGTGCCAGGCTGGTTGCGCCAGGCTGGTTGCGCCAGGCTGGTTGCGCCAGGCTGGTTGTGCCAGGCTGGTTGCGCCAGGCTGGTTGTGCCAGGCTGGTTGCGCCAGGCTGGTTGTGCCAGGCTGGTTGCGCCAGGCTGGTTGCGCCAGGCTGGTTGTGCCAGGCTGGTTGTGCTGGTTGTGCCAGGCTGGTTGTGCCAGGCTGGTTGTGCCAGGCTGGTTGTGCCAGGCTGGTTGTGGCAGGCTGGTTGTGCCAGGCTGGTTGTGCCAGGCCGGGTGTTCCGCGCCAGCTCCAAACGGGGATCACGGTTTGCGTTTTTGGCGAGACGGGAAAGTCCGAGGCAGTGGCAAGAGACTTGCTGAATGGTTTGACCCCATTAATGACCAAAAGACCTAATCCTCGGCTACCCGTACCCGGCCGGGTATCGGGTAGGGTACGGGTACCCGTTTGCGACCCTGGTGCGGCCTGGTACGGGTAGACCGTGAGTCACTGGTGAGTCACCGTTTGTCACTCATTTCCCAACGTCTTGTCTCTTCTCACAATTCAAGTTCCTAGAACCAACCCACCCGTGCCTGCAACATGGCTTCATCCCAGAGGTCGCAATCGGGTACCCGTACCCTACCCGATACGGGTAAAGAATGAAAACCCGTTTGCGACCTCTGCTTTCTGGAGATCAACACGGTGGGCGAAGACGGTGTGGTTGGTGTGGCCAGAAAACCACGGCCCCCCCCCCCGCTCACACAAACCGCGACCGTTGGAACTCGCTAAACTAATAGGGGGTTTCCCCTTTTTTCTGGCAACAAAACTGACACCTTTTGCAAGGAATCATGCTTACATTAACCACAATACTTGCAGTCAAATTCAAACAAAAAACAATACTCTGATAATTTATGCATTGTCTTTGAAACTGATTGGTCCACACTCAGAGACAGCTTTCTTTAGAGCCTCGTCTCATGTGGTGTTCGACCAGATGACGCCAAAAGGCGCACAGCTCAAAGACAACGCAACTACCAGAGTAGTCGAACACCACATGAGACGAGGCTCTAAAGAAAGCTGTCTCTGGTGTGGACCAATCAGTTTCAAAGACAATGCATAAATTATCAGAGTATTGTTTTTTGTTTGCATTTGACTGCAAGTGTTGTGGTTAATGTAAGCATGATTCCTTGCAAAAGGTGTCAGTCTTGTTGCCAGAAAAAAGGGGAAAACCCCTATTAGTATATTTTGGTTACTGGCAAAGGAGGTTCAATGATGTTGGAACTCGTTTGAGGCTGAGTTGACACGAAGCGTGGAGAGCCCAGGGACAGTTCGGGTGTTTGTTTGTTTGTTACCGATGTTGAGGGCTGTGAGCAGGAGTCGAATCGTAACTCGGGCGACTGGGTTCGTAGTGGCAGCGCGCGCTAACCGCTGCACCCCCCCCCCCCCCCACCACCTACCCCCACCGCTGTCGGTATGCGCACGCACGTAACGTGCGCAGTCGACCCGCGCGCGTGTGGACGCATTGTTGCGAATACTCGCGAATTCCTCGATTGGGTAAAGGATTTTTTTTTTATAAATACGTCGCAAAATGACTCCCTCCTGGCAGGCGAATAATATCCACTTTGCGGGCAATGTGCTGACTTCACCTTGTGCCACGCAGGGACAGCTGCCACCAGGGGAGGGGCGGGGAGGGTCCCCTAGGCGAAATATTCCATCTTGGGCGATGCAGCGGGCGAGATGATGAGAGACGCGACGCTGACGGGGCGGTGGGGGGGGGGCAGCTCTCCGAGACGCTGCGGCGTTGAAGCGAGCGCCGGTTAAATACGAATCTCCCCCTTCCCACAATCCCTCAGCGCAAATCGAGCAAAGTTGCTGTGTGCGAGTCCTCGTCACCGCGTCTGGGAGCAGCGCGTCTCGGATCGCTTCCCGGAGTTCCGTCGGCTCGAATCGATCGATCGATTGATCGATCGATTGATCGATCGATTGATCGATCGATTGATCGATCGATCGATCGATCGATCGATTGATCGATCGATTGATCGATCGATTGATCGATCGATCGATCGATCGATCGATCGATCGATCGATCGATCGATTGATCGATCGATCGATCGATCGATCGATCGATTGATCGATCGATCGATCGATTGATCGATCGATCGATCGATCGATCGATTGATCGATCGATCGATCGATCGATCGATTGATCGATCGACCTCCGTTGTGGCTGATCATCAACTGACCTGGAACGTCAAACCACGTAGCCGTAATGACCCCCCCCCCTTTCCCCCCTCGATCTCATTAACACATTGTGACGTCATCGCTCCTCGCGGGCTGTCGATCAGAAAAAGCCACGTGGTTATTTTTGGTTTCTACCCCCACCACCAACCCCCCCCCCTCGATCTCATGAACACATTGTGACGTCATCGCTCCTCGCGGGCTGTCGATCAGAAAAAGCCACGTGGTTATTTTTGGTCATCTTACCCCCTCCACCCCCCCCTTGTATGCCTTGTTGTTGTTGTTGTTTTACCTGTGTCCGTGTGCACGTTTGTCGGCAGTCTTGTCGACTTGTACGTGTGTGTGTACGTACGTGTGTGTACGTACGTGTGTGTGTGTACGTGTGTGCGTTTACGTGTGTGTGTGCACGTGTGTGTGTGTGTACGTGTGTGCGTGTGTACGTGTGCGTGTGTACGTGTGTGTACGTATACCTGTGTGTGTACGTGTGTGTGCACGTGTGTGTGCACGTGTGTGTGTGCACGTGTGTGTGCACGTGTGTGTGCACGTGTGTGTGCACGTGTGTGTGTGTACGTGTGTGTGTGCACGTGTGTGCGTGCATGTGTGTGTGTGCGTGTGTGCACGTGTACGTGTGTGCACGTGTACGTGTGTGCACGTGTGTGCGTGTATGTGTGAGTGTGCGTGTACGTGTGTGTGTGTACGTGTGTGTGTGCATGTGTGTGTGCGTGTGCACGTGTGTGTGCGTGTGCACGTGTGTGTGCGTACGTGTGTGTGTGTGTGTGTGCACGTGTGTGTGTGCACGTGTGTGTGTGTGCACGTGTGTGTGTGTGCACGTGTGTGTGTGTGCACGTGTGTGTGTGGGGAGCGGCGTGACTGGTCAAGGCGCTACGCTGCGCCACGAAGCCGTCCGACCCGAGTTCGATTACCCGCTCACGACCAGCGCCGCCCCTCCCCTAGGTCGACTCAGCCTCAAACGAGTACCCGGTGCGATTGCGTTGTCAACATCGCCACTGGGAGAGACAAAGGCGGCCGGGCGTGGTGCAGGCCCCCCACCCCCTCGTGTGCCGTTCCGGCCTGCATAGGCGCTCGCTAGCAGCACTTGCCCCTAAAGTCTGTGAAGGCTATACCGGGGAGATGGGGGGGTGGGGGTCTTTGTCTTTGTGGTGTGTGTGTGTACGTACGTACGCGCGTTTCAAATAGAGGCGGCTTATTCGCCCAAAGCCAAAATGCCAGTCGCGGCTGAATTTTGTCCCCCCCCCCCCCCCCGGTTCTTTTAATCAAAAGAAATAAACTCTAGAGATTTTGTATTGTAAGTCCCCGCTGCGAGAGTGTGTGTCATTTTATTCACCCCCCCCCTCCGCCCCATCGCCAACGCAGACCTCTGTGTCCAACGTTCAAAACGAACACCTCGTACAGGAACCCTGCCTCCGAACTTCTCAAGCCGCAGACGGTCCCCCGTCAACCGAATCGGGCCGCATCATGTGGACATCTCTCGCACCAAAATAATCTCAATGCGTGTTTTCAAAATGTGGAGGGGAAAACCGGGAGGACCGGGAGGAAAAAAAAAATCCACGCGACCACGGGGAGAGAGAGAGAGACACAAACTCCAAATATACAGCAACAGGCGTCATGGATCCGGATCGAACCCACGACCTCCTGTACACCAGGCGAGGTAGTTAACATCTCATAGCCACCTTGATGATGATGAGAGACACGCAAACTCCAAATATACAGCAACAGGCGTCATGGGTCCGGATCGAACCCACGACCTCCTGTACACCAGGCGAGGTAGTTAACATCTCATAGCCACCTTGATGATGATGAGAGACACGCAAACTCCAAATATACAGCAACAGGCGTCATGGGTCCGGATCGAACCCACGACCTCCTGTACACCAGGCGAGGTAGTTAACATCTCATAGCCACCTTGATGATGATGAGAGACACGCAAACTCCAAATATACAGCAACAGGCGTCATGGGTCCGGATCGAACCCACGACCTCCTGTATAGCAGGCGAGGTAGTTAACATCTCATAGCCACCTTGATGATAATGAGAGACACGCAAACTCCAAATATACAGCAACAGGCGTCGGGGTCAGGATCGAACCCGCAATCGAACCCACGACCTCCTGTATAGCAGGCGAGGTAGTTAACATATCCTAGCCACCGTGATGATGGTGAGAGAGGCACGCAAACTCCAAATATCCAGCAGGCGTCAGGGTTGGGATCGACCCCACAACCTCCTGTATACGGGGCGAGGTAGTCACGAAGGGACATGGGGTAGTTGTTGTGGTTGATCAGCTGCCTCTTAAGTTTAAAGAGGATGTTCGTTGGTAAACCCTTGCAGTTTCATTAACACACTCGCACGCCCATAATCTAGATCAGCACATTGTGCATATTCCAATACCGATACCCGCCATTCACCACGGCGCCTGTGCCAGGCTAGGTGCACGTTGAGGCCACGTGAAGTGTCGAAGGCTCGATGACAGGAGGTCTCTGGACAAACCCAGGTGGTGCCATGAGTTGGCTGACAGATCACCGGTAGATGCACCATCACCAACCCCCCCCACTGCCAACTTGCTGCATTTTATTCACCCGGCGCTCCGCTCGTTGTTGTGAGCGTCGCTCCTCCGTTGATGCTGGAGGGCGACTGCCTTCAACTGCCCAGCAGCGTCCTTCACGAGCCTCCTCCTCCACCAGAGGCCGATCTTGACACCGATGGTACCAGTCGTCAGCAAGTCCACTCAGCTCCACAATCCTCCCGTACCACATCAGCTCCATCTCTGCTCCAGCCCGTGCCGTGCCTGTTCAGCAACCCTCTCTATGCGGCTCAACAGAAGCTGCTTGGGCATGCGGTGGCTGGGCATGCGGGCTACGTGACCCAGCCAACGTAGCCTTGCCTGCCGGATGAGCTTAGATACACACGCGCACACAGATACAATGATCCTCCGTAAAGTCTATCACACGCTGTTGGGGCAAGTGCTGTTAGAGAACAGCGCCTATGAAGGCCGGCACCGTGGCACACGAGGGGATGGGGTGGCCAGCACCCCCCCGCCCGGCCGCCTTTGTCTCCCCAGTTGATCGGTTTTTTTTTTAAATCCTTTATATTAAGTTCGCTTGCTTGCGTGCTTGCTTGCTTGCTTACGACCATGCAAATCTTTCGGTCGTTTTTTAACCCACTTCCCGTGATCCAATCGAGCTGACATTTTGCACACAGACTCGTTGTGCGAGACAATTAATGTTCGTGAAATTTTTTTTCCAAAATTTTACACTGTTTAGGGAAAACAAATCAAATATTTAATTACCAATTGCTTAATACTGGCAGACAATCATCTGACCCATAGGTGGCAGCCATCTCAAACCAGAGGACGAGAGGACTCTAGCCGCCACGCATATAAAGGATTTATAGTGAAAAACTTTGTTTTTACGGGTTATACTTGTTTAAATCCTTTATATTAAGTTAACTTGCTTGCTTGCTTGCTTGCGTGCTTGCTTGCTTGCTTGCTTACGACCGTGCAAATCTTTCGGTCGTTTTTTAACCCACTTCCCGTGATCCAATCGAGCTGACAACTTCCACACAGACTCGTTGTGCGTGACAATTACTTTTCGTGA